AAGTTTCTCTACTGTCCAAAAACTATGTAGTTAACTCATATCAACTCAATTTCTGTAACAAAATGAAGATGGAAACATGAATTATTGAACCAAAAATGACAAAGACAAGAGTTTGGTGTCAGAGTTCAGAGGAGTTCATGAATTGTCGTGTGGTGCATGTCCGATGTTTTACATAGGTCAAACTCGGATATCATTCAAAACACGCATGAAAGAACATAGCAACAGTTTATAGAATCGAAAAATGAATTCATCATATGATAGTCGCCTCCATACAGTGGGGCATGGGCTCAACTATGAATTAAAAACCAGTTTTTGCCTTTTCTAACCCGTTTTTACAAGTGGATTAAGGATTATATCTGTAAAATTCTTATGTTCTATTCTGGTTGAGAAACTTATTCTCTAGCGAAACATGTAAAAATCACAGTGGTATTAGTAAGTTTTGATGAGGGTTTTCACAACGTATCGGTCAGTTTCGTTCAAGAAGTTTTTGACTCAGTCCTTTACGAACGAACAGACAAAAAATCAAATATTTAGCCGTAATATCAGTTTAGATTCGGATAATCCCCCTCGGTTCCTCACCAACGTGAACTCACTTCTCAAGTTTACCGTCACAGTCGCATAGTTCACTTCTGTTGATTGGTACAAATTGGCAAATGAGTTAGTTAGCGGGTGAAGAGGGAATCGCAGAATTGAATGTGATGGTAATGGGCGACAATCTCTTTAAGGCCGATTCAATTTGCGCCCGATTTTATTCGAGGCGGTAATTCAATCAAGTTCCCAGCAAGCACTCTCGCAACTCACCCCTTCAACCCCCGTCCTCGTGCTTTTTGTTGGGTGAGGATCGTCGATTTCTCTACCTTGGCACCGTTACGAGGAAAATGACTTCAGATAAAGTTTATAACATAGGATTGGCGTCAATGTTTTGGTTGGTTTCCGTGTTTTGCCGATGTCTTTGGTTACAACCTCCAAACGTTTCGGCTACGACTACGGCAGTCATCTTCAGCAGCATGGTCGAAGTATTCTTCTTGACGTGTCAACTGGAATTAGAAGAAAACCTCCAAATCCCATTCCTTGATGTTTTAGTCATCAAGGAAGGTTATCAACTAGGCCGTAAGGTTTACAGGAAAACACATACAGATTGATACCTACATAATGTATCCAACCCCTAGAGCTTTGGGAATATGTGAAGAAAGGTACGTCGACTACGAAATGAAATACCTAACAACTATGTTACAAGCGAACGACTACGACAGAAAATAGATAATCCGCGCTACGCGTCCAAGCCCAGCAAACACAGTTATGTAAAATTGACATGGATGTTACATACCTGTTGATACGTGTTATGTAACTATGTTATGTAAAACTTACATCCCTGTTATGGCAAAATGTCCACCACAAATACAACCTGATTTTTGCGTAACATTAATGTCATTATTTCACATATATTTTATATAATTTCAGTGAGTAAATATAAAGAAATATAACACTCGCTCGTAGAAAAACTTGGAATCATTAACCTTCAAAAACCAAAACTTCCTGACCAAACTCTGCCTCCACAGTTATTTTTTGTAAAAAATGCTCATCAACAAAAACACAAATCTTACAAGAATGTCTCAACAACTTTATCATCTCCCACAGAACTTCACAGAGACCAACATATAACTCGAAAACTCAAAGAGATTCTCATATCTGTCAAAAAGTCAAGTGCGTCTGGATGTTATCAACTTGAAAGCACAGCGAACATAATATTGAAGTTACAACTTTACGCAGGAGTTGAGTGAAACATAATATACCATATTGATGTAAGCTTTTACGTTTTAGCTACGACTTATTCACATAAATTATTTATGTAAATATGGGGTAAAAGTAACTTGGAATTGTAATGGAGTATTTACGTAAATGTAAGACATAAACATGTTTCGTTAATTTTATGTCATATTTACGTAAATGTAACAAGTATGTTTGCTGGAAGGGAGAAGAAGAGGAACATCAGTGAAGAGCTACCTTAAGGAACTGTCTATCTGCCATACATAGAAGGCGTCACCCACCGAATCGTGAAAATTCTGAAGAAGGAGAAAAGTAACACCGTCTTGAAACCAAGGAAGAAAATATCGGAGTAACTGAGATCAGCAAAAGACGGCAGAGATCCACTCAAATCAGCGGGAGTTTACAGGATTCTATGTGACTGTGGTAAAGTCTATATCGGTCAGACGTAAAGACGCATTGGTACCCACATAGTCGAGCACGAGCGGAGTTGCCGATTAGGACAGACCGCAACAGGCTAGCAACGTCGAATAATTATTCAACAAGAATGTATTTACAAGCCATAGAAATACACAAACACCAAGAGAACTTCATCAGAAAGGAAGAGAGAACATATCTACCGTAGATCTGGCACACAGCATTGAAAAGCGCCAAAACGAAGCCAAGTCAACCAAATCGCGCGGGAAATACGCGCGAACCCGCCATTACATAAAGTGCGCGAAAATCAACATTATAGATGACATGACAGAAATGAGACTTGAGTTTCACTACTTCACTGAACAGGTCACAAAACGCAACACGTGTTTCACTTTACAATAGCTTCTTCAGGCGTTTCCATGCTGACTAAATCCTACCTAATTGATGCTTGATATAATATGGCATTTTGAGTCATATGACGTTCTACCTACTTAATGACTAACAACTTCCATTTGCATCAGTACAGTTTTGCCAACGTAACATATATGGAATAATTCCGCCAGCATAAAAATAGGGATTCGATGAAGTAGATGAATGCTGTTTTTGCCTGGTCCTGATTGACGAAGGTCCACCGGTGGAAAAGTTATCAGAGTGCTTGAAAAAACATGTGTTTTGGATGGTTATCGGGTTTTGCCGTGGTCTTCTTTGGTTATAATCTCCAAACGTTTCAAATGCAACTGCGGCAGTCGTTTGGAGATTATAATCAAAGAAAACCACGATAAAGCCTGGAAATCATCCAAAACATTGACATCAACCGTAAAAGCCTACATTCCCATAAAAAAAACTGTTTTCTTTCTTTTGGCTTTTCAGTCCATGTGTTAGTATCAGCATCAAATTACTTCCAATAGGAAAGCATTAACATTCGTCGTGAACATACACCTCACTCTCGCACACACTCACGCACACGTCTTCTGTAAGCTCTTGGAATAAATCAAAAGCACATATCCATTTAATCTGGGCCATAAACATTCAAACATTCACTGCGGGTCACTCGACACTGAATCGCACTATGTTTGATTACATATCGGTGATGTATAGCCCGGGGTAAGGTAATCCGGGCATTTCTATGTGCATTTTGATGTTCATTGCCCGCCGGAGTCTACCATTTTCGAGACGTACATGATGATGATGGCAATTGAATGTTATGGTGACGAATTGTTTTTATTATTATCCCTCTAACAGGAAGACATGCACATAAAACGGGTGGCCAAAAGAGGAATATGGAAAGTGTAAACAATCTGGTGAGAAAGCATCCTCTGTTGATGCTGGCCAAGTCAGCATCATGAGTTTATTAAAATCAGATTTTATAAACTGGACTTCAAAAGCAAAAACAAGAATAAAAATTATACTTTCATAAATTCACTTCACCTCACACACTTCTGAAACTATTCAAAAAACTGATTACTTTCAATTAACATAACAGATATCTGGAATTAAATGTCTACATTGTAACAATATTTTTTATTTTCAAATTCACATTTCGAGGGACATCTATCCTCGAGTCTGGACTTCACATAACTGTCATTTGGATAGAGCTATTGAAAGATAGGTGGCGCCGTCAATTTTAATTTCCAAAAACCATTTCGGGTTTGCGTTAATTAACCCGCTCTCACTCATCCAATAAAGCTTAAAATGCTCACTACATACTTTGACTTTGTCTAATGCAGGTTCGTAATCAATAATAAATTTTTGTTTTGAGCGCAATCTTCATTAAAAGAATTTATTTTCATTTGTTCTGCTATAAAAATCACACATCGTGTACCAAATATTTCTGTATATTCGAGAGGAGCACGGAGTGGGTGACATCTAGGTTAGATAATTCGAACGTCCAACTCTAGGAAAACATTGAGTATTGTCATATGAAACAGTGGTTTTAAACATTCAAATTTTCGTTGTAACAACAAATTGTATACTTTTGTAATATTTCTGTTCAACTATGAGTATGTGAGAGACACCTATTCCTTGTAAGATCAAATTATACTACATAATTCGGGCTCTTCCAAAATTATGAGTTTGAAAGCAAATTTCCATCAATATCAACTTCAATATTTGTGATAAATTGACCCTATTACTTTCCAATGAAACACCACGCACCCTACGCGGAAAGTTTCACTTCAATGAAATTGAAGGAACTTTTCAAATATCTTCAGGATTGCATTCTGAATAACATATAAAGGGTTAAATTCATAAAATGTGAGAAACACTGTACTTTTGATACCAGAGAAAAAAAGTTGAAAAGAGTTAAAAAAAAGTGATAAAGTTTTATGCAAACATTAATTTAGTTCCCTGTACCTGAACATTGAAAGCTGAATTTACAAGCATTACAACTGTACACACATCATTCATTGGAGATCCCAGAGTTAACCTCATTGCGTGCAATGAAAAACTTTGTAGGCCATAGGCAAGTACTTTCATCTCTGACAAATCTTCAACATTACGCATATATTATATAATCAACAGTGAAAGCTGTTTCACTTCATACTTGTCAGTGATATCGTTCGTAAGAAGAAAACACCTGATTAACAAAAAACACTCTCATCTTGAGTCTTTTTAATAATAAATGATTCACTTTATTGGAATTTCAAAACATATCTTGTCATTTCATTGATTCCCTAAAGTTTTAAACCAATATAATATCTTGCGGAACGATCCCCTCCTATATTCTATGGTAATAGTCATTGGTTATACTGCCAAAATAATCAAGGCCATGTCATTAAAGAAGAGCTGGAAAAGCTAAGCATCAGGAAGAAGATGAAATTTAAATGCTCCGGTCTCTGCGACTGCGCAACAGTATCAAATATTGTGAGGTAAATCATCACATACCATGAATATTTAGCATACATGGTAATTAATTCCTCATAAACAACCGTCACGCTGTAATTCACAGTAAAAACAACAATGCCGATAGCGGCGACACAGACCTGAACTTGCCAAGACAATCGCGAAACACAAATTAGCATGGCGGACGATAACAGCAGCGAGGACTCTGATGTGGAAAATCAGAACGAATTTGCGGGCGTTCTAAGTAAGTGGACCAACTACATCCACGGCTGGCAGGACAGGTACATAGTTCTGAAAAACGGCACCCTATCCTATTACAAGAGCGAGCAAGAAAGGGGCTACGGATGTCGAGGGGCTTTGTCCCTTGCCAAAGCAATCATCAAGGTATGCCGTGAGCGTTCGTCATCTATTTTCCAAAGGATGCTTGATTGTCGATTTTTGTGGAGTAATTCAATTTTTTTTTCCAGCCTCATGAGTTTGACGAGTGCAGATTCGATGTTTCTGTTAACGACTGTGTCTGGTATTTGAGGGCGGATTCCATTGATAGCAAGCAGAGCTGGGTGGAAGCTTTGGAATCCTACAAGGTAATTTGACACCAAGAAGTATAACCATGGTGTTTCATACAGATAAGATGATTGCTCTTGAGATATAGATTACAGGAATCTGTAGAGGAGATTCAGTTGTTATCTTTGCATGGTAGTTTTAGAGCTGTGAACTAGTAGGCGGATGATAATATTTGAAAAGGAACAAATCTTTAACAGCATGAAAAAGGTTATGGAGGAAAAAGTATTGTGCTCATTTAAAAAAAAAAATGAAGTCGATGCAAGCTACAGGGGATGATATGAGGTTAATTTTAGGGATGGAAAATGGTTTTTTATGATTATCACTGAAACCATATCTATCGGAAAAGGTGTATGTTTTTCACTCAACTTGATACTTCATAAAAAAAAACTACATAGTAAAACTTTTGTTTTTTTGTAAATTTATTTTGTTTTCTCGAAAATTCAGTGGAAACTTATCTTTTCGTGTCCCAGACATGCTGTAATTGTGTCGAATCGAAGTCCTCATCTTCAGCTGAATATTTTCATATGTTGGAAACAATTTTTTCTGTCTTAGATGGGGTTGTAAATCAATATTACTGTGAAGAGATTTTCCAAGGCAAGCAAAAAACATGTGATTTTGGTGATAATTGTGAAATGTTGCCCGCAGAAGATTTTGAAAAAAATTATGATTTATGCACATATGTAAGATGATGAGCAAGACACGATTCTGACGTCAAAGCGCAGCACTGGCCTTTCATTTCGAAATTATATCCTTTCAAAGATCAGAAGAAGGTCTTATTCCATTTTCCGTTCAGTACCAAAAAACGATCAGAATACACATGATTTTATTGGTCATCATAACCTTTACATATTGTTTCCTCTCGTTTTATACCTTTTCCGTACAGATTTATCTTTTTTATGGTCATATTCACCAATATGCAGAGTACCTTAAAAACTTATTTTGAAAACTTTCAAGCATATCATTTTGAACAATATATGATTTTTATTGAAGTGAGAGATATTCATTTGCAGATCTAAGAATGAAACCTAACATTTTTGGGTCAAGAGTGATTCCTAAATCTCTGATTGTGTTTGTTGTTTTCAGTTCTGATTGAAAGATTTTATATAGCCGATTAATGGGATTTTTGTCTCAAAAAAAAGTAAATTTTGAAATTTGTCTATATTTAATTGCAGTAGATTTATATCACACCAGCCAACAAAGTTACATAAATCGTACTGTAATAATTCTGTATCAGTTGAGTCATGAATAACTTTAAACATCTTCAGGTCATCAGCAAACAAAAGAAATTCACTATAAAGAATAACATCTTTCAAGTCATTTACAAATAGGTTGAAAAGCAATGGCTCTAAATGAGAACCCTGTGGTACACGCGATGAAACTGTGATAGCCAGTCTTCAATATGCCCACTGACTATGAAAAAAACACTTATTGTTTTTCACTTATTTGTATCATGTCGATAATGTTGCAACCATTTGAATTGCTAATCAACAATATGGATAATAATGGTCAATTTAACGTACATTAGTGAAGTTCTGCATGGCTGACCTTGTCCGATTGATCAAGTTGCTCAAGGTTGTTTCCAGTAATGTTCGTCCAAACAGTAGCTTTGGTTAATCGTTTTTTAGGTATAAATAGTTATCTAATTTCATGGCGTATCTAACTTCGAAAAAGAATTAGTAATTTACATATTTGCAAAACACATTCAAAAATTCTTTGCAAAATAGAAGGATTTTCAGAAATTTCAGTATGGTTCTTTGAATTTTATGTTTTGAGACTTTGGTATAGGATTATGTAAGTCAGACCTTTACCAATGTAACTTTCAGTCACTAAAGTAGGTGAGTTATCTAACCCTACGTGGAAACAAAAAGAGGAAATATGTTTTCAATATTGATAACAACTTATATGAAAAAGTTGAGGTATTATACATCATCAGTACATATTATATAAATATCAAGTATTCCCTTATTTATATTATAGAAAGTCTGAATATGGGTTTTAATTAACAAGATAAATCTGAAGCAGTTTTCATTTTTGGATCCGCTGGAAAAAAATTTCAACTAGCAGTCCGTATGTTTAATGATAGATTTCCCAAAAAAAACTATTTTGAGGTGCTATCAGCACAAACTTTTACATGAGCTCCAAACGAATGGCACGCTAAAAGGTGCTCCAAGGTCAGGAAAGCTGCCTGATTTTCATTAGAGGAAACCTCACAAGAGATCCTAACAGGAACCTCAAATTGAACCTAGAATAAGGCAAATTTTATTGTACAATCAAGAAGTCTTGGAAAATCGCAAAGTCATAATACAGCAGTACAGGGCACCTGCCCATTTCTATCGTATGGCTAGAGAGTTTCTCGATACAAACTTTCCTAGCCGGTGGACAGGGCATAGGTCGCAGGGGAAATAGCACATAGCCACCAAGATTTCCGAATCTCACACCTCTAGATTTTTTCTTTCGGGCATATCTGAAGTCGAAAGCTTCTCCACTGAATGCCAAACAATAGATTATTTGGAATACAATATAAAAGAGACATTCGAAGAAATAAAATCAATGTGAGAGAAGCTGTTCATAATATTATTGTCAAGATTGAGGAGAGGTTCATTTTGAAATTTTATAAAATAATTATTTTGGGTTGGAAAAAAAATTCAAGATGGAGCTCAGCCCTAATTTTAAAACTTTCCAATAATAGGGTGGAACGGACTTTAGGCCGGCACTGTATAACCAAATACGTCGTTTCTTTTTAGGCATTCTATTATTTTTTTACGCAAAAATAGGGAACGATGCAAAGTTGTTTACCTCTAAAATACATGATAATAATCAACTGTTATTCTACGACCGATCAGTACTGATGATCATCTACTGCGACCGATCAGTACTGACGAGCATCTGCTGTGACCGATCAGTACTGACGATCATCTTCTGCGACATATCAGTACTGATCTTCTGTTGCGACCGATCAGTACTGACGATCATCTGCTGCGACCGATCAGTACTGACGATCATATGCTGCGACCGATCAGTACTGACGTTCGTCTGCTGCGACCGATCAGTACTGATCTTCTGTTGCGACCGATCAGTACTGACGATCATCTGCTGCGACCTATCAGTACTGACGATCATATTATGTTATCTATCAGTACTGACGATCATATGGTGTGACCTATCAGTACTGACGATCATATGATGTGACCTATCAGTACTGATCTTCTGTTGCGGCCGATCAGTACTGGCGATCATCTTCTGCGACCGATCAGTACTGACGATCATATGCTGCGACCGATCAGTACTGATCTTATGTTGCGACCGATCAGTACTGACGATCATCTGCGACCTATCAGTACTGACGATCATATGCTGTTATCGATCAGTACTGACGATCATCTGCTGCGACCGATTAGTACTAGTAGCGAAATTACTCACGAAAATCAAATCAAAAGGATCACTGATCTAAGTTTTCATTACATTGCAGTAGAGCAATGTTATATATAATAACAAAAGTGCCCCAAGGTTCAGTTTTAGGACCGATATTTTTCTTGGGCGATATGGTCCCGCCCACTAGATGCGCGTTAGTTAGAAAACGATGAGAGTGGGGGAGACAAATGTCACTTCTCTTCCTTGATTCGACAAGTTGTAAGTATGGACATCTCGACATATGCGGACAGACAAGAAACCACGGCGGTCTCTAACATCGACCATCAAATGAGAAATCGTTTTCTGTCTTTCTCTGTAGCTTTCACTGCAAGGCAATTTGGTGAAATTAGAGCCCACAAACAAAGCATACGTCATCCTGTTACGAACCACCGTAGGTTTCAGCAGTAATGCTAGGCTGAACCACAAATCCCTTGTTGAAGTCATTAATCGATTAGTTTAACAACTGTTAAGTTGAGAGATGAAGAAGAGAATCTGTCATAATGATAATTTCGTTACTGGAATATCATTGGTTGATGTGATGAAATTTGAGAGACGAGCCCTCGGTCGTCTTTTGATAATTTGCCACAGCATAGAAGTGGTATTAGCTGCTGAGTTATTTTATTGATGAAGATAGTCTCGGACGAATCTGTACTTGAAAATTACACAAAACGAATGTTGGCTGAACAAGATTATAAATGAAAACTCGAGTCAAGGACCACACCGTTTACGATGAATGTAATTCTATATATAGAAACATTATTGATATAGATATAGATATATTCTTGATATACAAACATTATTGATATAGATATATTCTTGATATAGAAACATTACTCTTTCACTTTTTTGTGCTGGTAATATTTGCTCTCAACTAAAAAATATCGCTTGCGTTAATAAGTATTTTTAAGCTTTTCTTATCGTCAACCGTTATCTTCTCTTTGTGGATCTTCATTGTTGTTGAGGGGTTTTTGAATTTCATTGTGCAGGAACGTTTATCTGTTTCTTATTAAATACTGATTCACGTCAGTCTATCCAAATCATTCAGTCGTCTTATCATTCTCAAAGTCACTCACTGTATTCTCTTTTGTCATTCTTTGTGTGAGGCCTTGTCCGATAATGTTGTCATGAAAAAATGTGTAAACACATTCCTCCGGGTTTATGAATATTGCTGGTTGTAAAACGTTATTAGATGAACCTTGTGAAGTGTTGAGTTTATGGTTGCGTTAAAAATTGTTTAGTTTCTTATTAGCGTTACACGACATGAAGTGGTTGTCTTGCCTGAAAGTTCCGAAGGATCCGGACGTAGTTCTTCCAAAGGTAAATTTGTGTGACGTGCCCTAGTTCTTGCAGTTGGCGGTTTTGTAGTGTTCACTGTCATGTGTCAAAAATACCATTTTCTAGCTTCAGTGTTGAAAGAGTTGGTTAGTATTTAGTCAACCAAAACACATTTTCGGCCCACAAGAATTGTAACACTATACTTTAGTTTCGATTATCTTCTGATGACTACAAATTGGTTGACGAAACGGGGCCGAGAACAAAGAGAGTGGAAAAAGTTTTTTTTTTTAGTATCTCCATGAAGAGTNTTGCAACCCTTCGGGGCCGTCCATTAATTACATAACGCCAAAGTACAGAGTTTCTCAACCCCCATCCTTCCTATAACTGACGTGCAACGCTGGCTCTGAACAAGCTTTAATTACATATCACTATCCTTTTTCCCAATTTAAAAAAATTCCAAGTCCTGTACAATTGAACTCGACTTTATTTCACTACTAGATTGCGAATATAACACAAAAGCTTTAACAGATCTTCAGAATAATACTCGAATATCTATCGCCTTATTAGATCACTTCGTACTGTTCTTTCAACTAGACTCGCCCCCCATCTGCCTGTTGGTAGTGTTTATATATCGTAATGGAAGTCTCGGGAAGCCGATAGGGAAGTCTCTCGATGCGACGCGACGTTCATAACGGTCGGAAAGCGCAAGTGGAGTTGAGCGCGACCTTGGCGAAGTCACAGTCGATGGACGAAGACCAGCGGCGGCCGGCGTCATTTTTTTCAGGGGATAATTTACAACATGAAAAAAAAATCGATTTAGATAAAATGCTTCAGATTAATATTCGGAGAAAATTAACTAAGCTCTACAGCTAAATTAATGTTTAATTCACATCTTTTTATCACCCTCAATGGGGTTCATTAGTATTATTTTGTTGAATTGCTATTGTTCCTGATGTTAATTATTACATGTTATGGAACCTAATCTTTACCTGTAAATATCATGTAGGAGATATTTTATAGTTGTGGCTTATCGTAGATCTTTTCCCACGTGTTTCAGTTTCTAAACATTCGAAAGCACGTAAAAACTCGTTGTCATGTACCAGTGTTAACAATTTCAAGCATTCTTTACATATTCTGTGGCCGTTCTAGAAGACATGTTGAGTAATACTAGACTTCTCTAGTCTGTGAAACCGAATATATCAAACGTGTTCCTTGTAGTGAGTTATTACAGTCCGCTTAATTGGACCAACATACTTTTTATCACAATCCTCACCTCACAGCTCACTTTTTATATGAAGAAAAGAGAATTGAAACTGTCCTTTTTCTTCATTATGATTTCCTACCAAGTAGTAACTAACTAAATCCCAAATTTTTCTTTTACAGATAGAAAACGGTTAAATTTTAGGTGTCATAAAAGTAAAAGTCAATAAATTTTACTATGGTCCTTGCAGATATATTCAATAATATAAAGATAGTTGCAAGGTTTTATCCTATTCATCTCCTGGTGATGTTAACTTGGTTAGCGAAACGCAGGCCGAGGGTCAGTACTTTTGTTCTTGCGTAGGACAAGTGTTTTCAATAGATTCGTCAAGGCCAAAGGTTGACCTGTGTGAAAACCTTTAAAAATATTCCATTATGAAGATATGGACACAATTTATTCCACCATTGGTTTGCAAACTGTATATTCTTCAAGACTCGTTGATTCTCTGATTGGCTACAAGTTGAAATGTCACTACAATCGTTGGACCTTGAGGTATAATCTCTCAAGTCTTTCTCTTTCAGACAACTTGCCGGTGGTCGATTTCAAGGGTGAGGCAATTACTTTCAAATCGACAACGGCTGCTGTGATAGACACGTTAACGCACTGCGCCGAACTCGTGACACAGAGAGAAGAGTCTTGGCACAAGCGGCTCGACAAAGAAGTAGACAGGCGGAAAAAAGCCGAAGCGCTCTCTCACTCGTACTTTATGCAGATTCAGAAAATTAGGACCGTCCATCCCGGACCAGATCTGGAGGTAAGTAGTAGTTGTAGCAGTATTTATTTGAATATGGGTAATGTACATCATACGAGTGATAAGGTATAAAATATGTATATTACATGATGAATTGTTTGATGTTTCTCGGTTTATTAGCCGTGGTCTCTCTGGGCGTGGCTTGGTTTCTCTTAATTGGATTGTGATCGCGCAAGTATAGTCTCTGCCAACTAAATTACTATTGGATTACGATAAGCCCCTTGCTTGCTTGCACACATTTCATTCATTTCTATAATGTTATCTAATTTGGTACTGAAGAGCCTTAGGGCAAGTGTCTTAAGGCGAAACATCGATGTATACCAGTGAGGATGACAGTGTTCCATGTAAGTGCAATTTGTTACCATTCATTTAAAGTAGAACTCATGTAAATGATATCTGATTTTTATTCCACAACGAATG